GAATACCACGGTCTCGGCGTCTGAGGTGCAAATTCTTGAATCCATCGAACACTGGGGTTGCAGGTTCGAATCCCTTTCGAGCACATAAGTATGGCCGTACCATATAACAGATAAAGCCCTTAGGAGTTTCTGATTCAATGCAATGTTTGCCGATAATTTTCAACATTCGAAGCGGAACACCCCCGAAAACCGAAGTTGTAAACGGTGAGCAATCTAAGCAGCCACTACGCTGCCCCGGACAGCATATAACAGACATTTATTGGACGGAAGTGTATATTCATAAAATCGTCATATGGTAAATAAGCAATTTTATTATTTCGGTACATTTTAAGAAAAACGTACACGAAAGAGGAACGATTTCGACAGTTCAAAACATAAGCGAAACAGACTACTAAATTCGTACACATTCCGTTGATCGCATCCTGAAAAACAGAGGATGTAAATGTAATGTCGGGTTTCAATTGAGAACTGAACCCAAGTACAGAAAGATTTTGCAGATTCAAAAACTGGAACAATGTTCTGATCTGCACCGGAGTCTTGAGCAGATTTATAATGAAACTACACGACTTCTGGAATTGGAATAAATACGATGGGGGGTGGACGACCCAGCATGCATCATAATGGAACAAGAAGAGACGAGAAGTACAGATTAAGCAATTTAATCAACTTAATAACAACTAATGTACTTGTACGTCTGCTACAAATCTGTTGCAATAAATAACGTACATTATATTGCGGCAGGTTCACAGATACACTCAACGCAACGTCACGAAACTAAAAGGTTACTCAAAACACTCAGTCCACTTTACAGTTAACCCTTTTGCCCAATGGTAAAATTTTTACACCACCTTATTTAATCTTAAATAGCTCTTAATTGTGCTCTCGGATTGCACTTGCAGGATTCGCATGACTCAGAATAAAGCGCAATCATTTCAATGAAAAGAAGAGTCGAATTATTGAGAGAGAGAGAGAGAGAGAGAGAGAGAGAGAGGGAGAGAAGCTGCTCCGGTAACATGGAATGCCTTGGGATCCAAATCGGATCTCGGAAAGATATTACTTCGTGTAGTCTGGTAGAATTTGGCCGACTATTCAGATGAGTTAACAGCCTCCATCGTCCATCATCATGCGATCACTTTATGTTGTTCCTCAAAAAACGCTATAATCACAGCAACAAAATCATTTACTTCAGCACAATTTTAAATCTTTACGTCTCGTTACGGCGAGTACCTCGGTGGACCTTCTTCATCCGGATGTCAGGAACACAAAGGGAGGGCCTTGCCGTCCTGCGCGCAATAAATAGGGCGTGATTACTGCGTCCCTCTGTTTCCTGGAAACGGAGAACACTCCACCGTCTCTGAGGCAGATACTTGAGACAAGGCACTTCAAATTCCCTCTTCCCTTCTTTTCTTCCTTGTCTCTCTTTCTTAATTCCTTTCTCTCGTTCTCTCTATCTCATTGTTCTTTCCTTTTTCCATTCTAGAAAGCCATTATTTTGCAACGAACGACAAATCTTCGGTGTGCGCATGTCCATACGACATTCGCCGCCATCAGAACCTGAAACCTGACCTACATGATTTCTTGATTAGCTGAGTGAGTAACCAGCTGAAGGAACACAATATTACCAAGGTCACTCGTTATGGGAAAATACATCTCTTTCAATCACGGTGATCTTTTAAATATATTATCAGCACAAGAAGTGAAATCACTGAATAACTGTGCCATATGTAAACACTCGTGGGCGATGACTGAAGTCTATCGAAATTCCGCTTGAACCTATTACAAATTAACTATTGAAACACAGGAAACTAAACTGTGATTCTAAATCGACAGCAGTGCATTTATATTCAATTACACGCAACCAGTGCATACCAGACTCATCTGTGATGAAATATCAGATAACACTCGTAAAGTACATTCAATATGGTCCCGGCACGCATTTCAGCATTCTATGTCTTCCTCATTACATAAACTCCCGGAAATGTAGACCTGTACAGAAGACAACAATGCAATTTTTCATAAATGTAACATTTGATATTTCCGCAACAACCAGGAAAACTGATATACATTATTGAATTGTAATTGTTTCTGTCGGGGGGGGGGGCATTGGCATTGCGATACAAATTACTGCAGCACGAGTCATAAATCTGTAACAGCCAATTAACAGCCAATTCCGCGTAAATAATACACTGCCTACTAACAAACTCCACTCTGCACCAACACTGATAAACTACCAAGCACGTTTTCACATTGATGACTATTTAACATCTCTCCTTATTAAGCGTCAATGATACTGTATGTCAACATCATAAGGAAAATATAGATCTGGTAGAATCATGCTCATTATCGACGCTTCTAGACAGCCAAGCAGAAAATACGAGATGCAGACGAATAAACGTTATGGGAGGGTGTTGCTGTTTCGACCTCTCCTCCTCCAATACTACGTTCTAACAACTACGCCGCTAAATTCAGTAGCTGATACAGCGTCATAAAATAACAGAATACGCAACAAGTTGGCATCCTTGCCAGGAAACCGTCGTAGGTATCCAGCAAGTCAACTCATGGCACACGCAGTGGCCTACAGAAACCTCAGTCGCTACAGACGAATACAACAAGAAAAATACGTGCCTGGCACGGAATCTCTAACTGGATACGAACGTGCGTACTGCACGGTCACGATTCGCGCCGAGGGACCGTCTGGAGGTCACACCCCGTCTCCGAAAACCAGTGTGTTATCTTTCGTTCTAATTTATGAGAACTTCTGTCTGTCACTGCACGACAGCGACTCCTTCTCAACTATTTTTCTTCTCGAATTTCTAGATAAAAACTTGGGGCCGGAGGTGGCGCTCCTGGGACTTCTACGCGACGTGTGCGCGCAACAGTGCACCAAGAGTTGGTCGTATCATTCGTATTAACCAAAGTCGATAACAGAGAATCGAGGCCATGTATCGATCTACAGTCTAGTAATGGCTTAAGGGGAGAATGATATCGGAAAGTAAAAAAGGGAACTAAAGGAGGAACGATCTGAGATAAATACGAAACAAATAAACTGCAAATGCAGAAACGAGGGATAAAACTTGCGAACAAGCAACCAGCGGTACAGTACCAAAAACAAAAACGACATAAACAAGAAAGAAACAAAGAACGAGAGACAGAACAAAAATAAAACATTAAAAAAATAAAAATGATGAAAATAAGGAAGAAAGAAGTTAACATTCCAGGTTCGAGGTAAACTTGTGCTGCTTTTGCATACTGCACACCGTCGTCCGATAAACAGCGATAGCAGAACGCCCAGTGACTGACAGGCAGACAGACAGACAGACAATACCACAAAAATGCAAGGTGTTTCTGTTCTGGGATACGAACACAATGCAATCAGCACGTCCGAAACGTGCCTAAGGTTCAGATGCGAACACATGGTTTACGTAAACACGTGCGGGTGTGGACGAAGCCATTTTTATAAAATTCACATTTAGGTTCCTAAAACCTAAAAATAAATCATTATGATCGAACACAGTTCAACTTTAAAATGAAAAATGGATGAGCAGGACCGACGAAACAAGGCCGAAAACTGAACACCTGAGATTTATTACATTGTTACTTTGAGAGGCACGCACAAAGCAAACAAACTGATCAGTTGATATGGAGACATTATCTGCAAACGAAGACGGCTGCCATCTGGGTTATAGCGCAGTGCAGTCTGGTAGCAGTTTACCGACGTTTCGGTGGTCACTGCTGACTCCATCCCACGGCGCAGCATACCAGAAGACAGCCATCTTCATACTCGACGCTATAAGAACCTGAATTCTTACATCACGTAGAAAGAATTCAAGTAGAAGGGTTCTTTGTAAGCGTACACAGCAGATTCAATCTTGAGAAGCCGATACTTACTGACGGCGATTAAAAATGACCCGCTTTTATAGAACAAAATAAATGATCATCATGTTCTCAACTGCCCGCCACTGGTCACTAACCAGTCCCTCGAGTATGGAACAGCAATGACCGTAATATTCCGAACGTCGAATGCAAAATAATTACGAAATCGCTCATTCCAAAAGTCTGTCACTTCGTGATATGTAGAGGAATTCGTATTATTTATAGACGCACACACAAAACCGTCTGTCAAGACACGGCACATACTTGAATCGTGGCCAGAAACGGTGATGCTTTGTATAGGGTTGTCCATCCCACGGCTCCGATCACGCAACTATAAGAAAAACTGAATTCTTCATCCATTTATACCAATTTCTGTACTGACTTAAATTTCGGCAACAAGTGATTCATTACTGATGCCTTTTGTGTGATAAAGTAACTAAAACTGCCTTGAATCGACTTTAATTATTTATAATAAGAAAAAATTGTCTAAATTTATATTAGAAAATACAGAACCTGTTCACAACGTTTCTTAACAAGGCATCTCGTGGAGAGCCGAAGTCCGCGGATAATGAATTTAGTTCTTGAAGTCATGACGTCTACACCAAGTCCCTTCGCTTTTCCGACGACAGATGGAATAACACTACAGGCAGTGACATGTGACACAGAAGTGCTGACCTTTGGTTATTAAACGGAACTGTTTCCACTAATGAATTCATATGGTAACGAATGCGACAGGAAGATCATGATTCTGAGGCGGAGATCGTGAATCTAATCTAAGGCGAAACGCACGTTTCCGTCTATACGAGAAACCAGCGGCGGTCTACCGCCCTACAGCCATGTGCAGTACAATGTATACATTACTCCAACACACACGTGTGTTCCACGTGTGCTGTTGCTGTGCCAATGATCCTAGCAGAATAACATTTAGAACCAACTCAAAACGCTTCTGCCTATGTTCTGGAGAAATCGTGTAAGAATTCCGGGCATGCCACAATTTTTCTGGGATCAAAAGTCATGCGAATCTCAGTGCGGAAACCAACTATACTAATTGAAGTTTCGATTACTTTTCTCGGTTGAGTCTCCAACGCCACTGCCCCTGTTCCTGAAATAATAAGTAATTCCCTTACCGAATGGGTCTTCCCTGAAGACGTCCTCAGCATCGCTGCAAACGAGAAGCAGGACTGTTGGTATCACTGAAAAATAAAACATGTGACTGCAGTGTAGCGAAACCATCTCGACGCACTTTCTCCTAAGGCACTTTGTCACAGCAAACATTTGATTCTCTTCCTCCGTGCGGAATACGGAAATACATTGTACGTGACGGCGTTTGGTACCGACGGGTAACGGCAACTATTTTTCAGTTGTAACTTGCACAGAAAACACCAAGACACAACAGGTCAATTGGCGCTGAATTAAATATCAGTACCTCAGGCCTAAATGACACAAGAAGTTGTATTTTATCACCAGATGCAAGAAACTGAATTTTATGACGCCCGAAGTTCAAACCCTAAAATCAAACAATGTCACAAAGCACCACAAAGTAATTAGCGAATTTTTTATTATACAATGATACAAAAATCGAATGTCGCGCTATATTTCTGTGCCGGACGTCAAGAGTTTTTCGCGGAAATGCCCAATGCTAAACACAAAATCCTTTAGAAAGACTTTCGTCTTCGCTGTACACGTGGTACTGTCGACGAGAGGAAGGAACAGACGCGAGTCTGTTGGAAGACAGTGATGGGGGGAAAGTGGAACTAAGTTCTGCGCATGCGTACTTAATATTCTCCTAAATAAAAAAAACATCAGACCTACTTCTTTGAGTCCTAATTATCTGTAAATCTGACTTTAGCACGTTACTGTTCGTTGTTGTATCATCGCGGTTTAGTGACTGTGGATCACTTAAGTTGTGTCCTAGATGTATGGAAGGTGTCCGGATAGGACGGACGTTTTCTGGTACCATAGTATCAAAAACTCTTTCAGTATATACAAAACCTTAACAATAGTGTGTGCTACTACCTAATGAAATAGCCACGGTGGTCTAGCGGTTAGAACGCTGGCCTTGTAATCCTGGGGTCTCGGGTTCGATTCCCGGCGGTGCCCGAATTTATAACTTGTGTTGGGCAAGGCCGTGGTCTAGGCAAAACGGAGTTTTCCTCCGTGGCATCCCAACAATTACTCCATGCACACACAGAAGAAGGCAATGGCAAAAC